TATTCCTTAAAAAAAAAAAAAAAAAAAGAGAGCATTTATGTGACTTTAGTCTTTAAAAAAATATATTATCTTGTAGGCTTTATTCTGTGGTCTCAGTACTTCTAACATGTTTCTAAACTTCAGAGATTTATTACAGGTGCATTAAGTAGAGACCTGGCTATTTTTTCTCTTAGTGAGGTTGTTTTCAAAATGCAAGGTGTCAGCAGAACAATACTGCTTTGTATTAAAATGCATTTGTGCCTGCTTTGCTTCTGTTTAGGTGAAAATGCCGGATGTAGAATTTTTTGTTAATCTGGGGGACTGGCCTCTAGAGAAAAAGAAGTCACCACAGAACCTGCACCCCATCTTCTCATGGTGTGGGTCCAGTGAGTCAAAGGACATTGTCATGCCAACGTATGACTTAACAGACTCAGTTTTGGAGACTATGGGACGGTAAGAAATGGCTTAAAATTTCCACAAAATTCACAGCGAATGATTTTCCAAAAAGATGTTTGTATTAACAGTATATTGGTTTTATTTCTTCATTGAGACATTGGCATCCTGTAGGTAGGCAGTAACTGTGTAATCAATATCTTAACATTAACTAAGTTACAGATATAAATGGCATATTAAAATATTTCACTGTTTTATTTAAAAAATCAAAATTAATCTAAACATGTTCAAGTCATTGAAAACAGCACTTGGAAGGAATGCTTCAAGGGAAGTATTTTGTTTGCTGTGTTTCCCACCCATGAACATGTTAACAATTGGCCAGGTCTCTTTTTTCCTGATTTCCCAGAATCTTTTTTTTTCAACCTTTTAAAGCCCAGTGTAGCCAGATTTTTTTTTACCTAGGACTTACCATCTCCCACTTTGATTACTTACTGTAACTGGCCTTAGTAACTGCTCCATTGCCGTCCTGAAACACTACAAAGCCAACTTCTGCGAGTTCTTTGTAATCCATTTTGAACCTATTTCACTGCATTTAGTTCTGGTTCTTTCTTTCTTATCAAGGCTTTTTCTAAATTCCCTGACCCACCTAATTTATGTGTTTTAATTTAGCAAAGTCCTTAAGGAAGTGAAATATGTTGTACTGAGCTAATTACCCTGCATCACCCTCATCCGTCTGGCAACCATATACGCTTTTAGCTACTTTTTCCAGTGACAACCAAGTACTCTTTCCACATGCCATGTTGTTGTTGAACTAATGCCGTCTTGCTTCTGAACTTGACATTCATCTAGTTTTATTGCTGCAAAAATACAGATACAATACACAGACAGGTGTGTTCATGACTTACCTTTATCCTTGGTATTTGCCTATTGGTACTGTAACCTCCTTTAAGTAATTAAACTTAACAACATTTCCAGCAGACTTCACTATTAAATCACTTTTTTTCTCTCCTCCAGAGTCAGTCTGGACATGATGTCAGTACAGGCAAATACTGGCCCATCATGGGAAGACAAGAATACCACAGCATTCTGGAGAGGACGTGACAGCCGCAAGGAGAGGCTTGAACTTGTAAAACTCAGCAGAAAATACCCAGAGCTCATAGATGCTGCTTTCACAAACTTTTTTTTTTTCAAACACGATGAAAGCCTCTATGGCCCCATTGTTAAGCACATTTCATTTTTTGACTTTTTTAAGGTAAGACACTAATCATTTTTCATAGAGCTAGGTTCTTGGTGTATCCCATTATCAAATAACTTTGTAGGTATTACTGATAATAAAATGACCTTTAGATTTTCAGCACACAACTAGTAACAAGCATGAATAGGTATCCCTCCAGTGGGATTGCTGCTGTGTAGCTCTTACACAGGGGATGATGATGTTTGATTTACATCTGAAGGTTCTGTAGAATCTTGTGTAATCTATATAACTCCAAGTTCCTTTTTATTTTTTTCCTGATTCAGTGATCAGGACTACTAACATAACTAACATAGTGGGAAAATCAGTGGATGAAGTGGCACATCCCCTCTCACGTCCGAGGATGAGCGTCTGAGAATTTCTGGAGAATTTAATTGATGAAGCGGGCCTCTCTGTGTACCCTGCACTCTGATGAACTCCAATATAAATACTAAAAGCTACTTAACATTGACCCTTGCCTAGCTAGTCCTATATTGCTCAATATCTGCAAGTCAGTAATACCAATGCCCTCAGAATAATATAACCTAACCAAGCTGCTGGCATCTTGTGTTTGTTAATAACTGACACTCATTTTCTTTCCAGTATAAATACCAAATTAACATTGATGGCACAGTGGCAGCATACAGATTGCCTTATCTACTAGCAGGAAACAGTGTGGTGCTAAAGCAGGACTCCATCTACTATGAGCATTTCTATAACGAGCTGCAGCCATGGAAACACTACATCCCATTTAAAAGCGATCTGAGTGATCTACTAGAAAAACTGCAGTGGGCAAAAGATCATGATGAAGAGGTGAATATACATTTAGAAGTATTTGGCGATGTTTCTAGACAACATAGAGCAAAAATTGCATTGCTTTAAAATAAAAATCTATTAGGACTTAAAAATTATTGTAATCAATTACAAACAAGAAAAATACTTTTAAAAAGTATATAATACATCCACTAATTTGAAATTAAGTTGAACTTTGCAAAATTAAGAGTATATTCAGAGAATTACTTACTTTTAAAAGTAAGAATGCTTAAATAAAAATAAAGCCGTTATCCTAAACTGCCAACACTTAACTCCAGAATCAATACTGGCAGCCTGAAATACTGGGGTTTTTAGAATTTAAAAAATTAACCCAACTTTTATTTTCTTTGACAGGCAAAAAATATCGCAAAATCTGGACAAGAATTTGCAAGAAACAATCTCATGGGAGATCACATTTTTTGTTACTATTTCAAACTTTTCCAGGTTAGTACGTTTTTCATAGCTACTGCCACAAAACCAGAAATCACACAGAAAGAATGAAGGGCAGTGGAGCTGCTGGAAATTGTCCAGTCCAATACTTGAAGCCACAAGGCAAGCAGCAGCAATGGGAAACTTCAGTAGGTTTATGAACACTGTATGCAGTTATTTCCTATGAAGGCCCTTAAGGCTGGTGCTCTGGGAGAAGCAATCGGATCCCATAAATCTTGATCTAATCTGCAAGAATATGTTGCCCACAGTGATCAAAGAATTCCACCTCAGATGCACACCCTGTGATCCACAGCTGAAAATACCTGTGCATTAGCACTGAGATAACCAAAGCTCCAGTGTGCCACCAGAAGGGGCTCCCATCTACAGTTATGGGTCTGTTTACCATGCTGGATACACATGGAGTGTGTATACATATGGTTGGTTGCTTATGGAGTAATGATTGTGTAGCCCTGGAGTTTTTACGGAATTACTCATCTGGGCTGGTGCACTCTTTACAACCAGATGTACAGTCTAACGAGTTTATACATTAAGGATATCTTCCTCTTTTAAAACTAGGAGTATGCCAGCTTGCAAGTGAGCGAGCCAAAAATCAGAGATGGGATGGAGAAAGTCCAGCAGCCTGAAGATGACCTTTTTCCATGTACTTGCCACAGAAAAAAGGTACAGTACATATAGCAGTAAATGTAGCATGCTGGATGCTTTCACTATTGCTTCTACTGCATTGCTTAGCACCTTGTGGTATCAGTTACCAGACATTAGCACCTACTGAACTCAGAAACATGTCCTAATGTATTTGCAGGGCTAGACAGGTAAAATTTGGTTTCCAGTTAACTGAAAAAGTGTTTCTTGTTTCTTGACCGCAGGCCAAAGATGAACTCTGACATAAAGCAACCAAGTGATTTTTTTTGTATTTGCCTACATTCAGACTGCCTCTTAAGGAAAGAATTAAAAATTGGATTAAAATGCCAGCAGATAATGTCAGCAGATATTAAAGAAGTTTACAGTATCATGATCTACATATGGAAGAAAACCAAGTGCCCCTTGTTTCCTTTTTATCTTGTAACGGTTGCAGGGCCTTGTTCAAAGCATTTTTGTAATTTTTTTTTTAATAAAAAAATATGTTTGTATCAGTCACATGTTCCTGTCCTGAGACACCATGGAAATGCAGATACTTCTTACTTGTGCTTGTTATTTTCACAGATGTACTGTCAGTGAAACCAGTTTCTTTAGCAGTATGAAAACAATTAAGTAGCGTTGGGCAGTGACCACTGAAACTAAACTGATCATTGTTTCAACAGTCTAGTCTACTCTGATTTTAGAACACCTGCTTTCCACTGATGCTAAGTAATTCAGCTGTTACTTCTGGGCATATCAATGTCATCTAAAAATGATCCATAGGTGAATTTAAAGTCTAGTCTAAACTTACCAAATTCTAAAGTTAATGAATATGCTTCCAGTCCAAAGTGAAGATTTACCAACGAGGGCTGCATCAAAAGGAGCGTGACCAGCAGGTTGAAGGAAGTGATCCTGCCCCTCTACTCTGCTCTCATGAGACCTCACTGGAGTATTGCGTGCAGTTCTGGTGTCCTCAGAGGACAGAAGAGGGCCACAAGGATGATCAGAGCACTTGAGCACCTCCTGTATGAAGACAGGCTGAGAAAGTTGGGGCTGTTCAGCCTGGAGAAGAGAAGGCTGCGTGGAGACCTCATAGCAGCCTTCCAATATCTGAAGGGGGCCTTTAGGGATGCTGGGGAGGGAGTCTTCAGGGACTGTAGCTATAGGACAAGGGATAATGGGTTTAAACTTTTAAACAGGGGAAGTTCAAGTTAGATATAAGGAAGAAATTCTTTACTGTAAGGGTGGTGAGGCACTGGAATAGGTTGCCCAAAGAAGTGGTGAATGCTCACATCCTGGCAGTGTTCAAGGCCAGGCTGGAAAGAGGCCTGGGCAACGCGGTCTAGTGTGGGGCATCCCTGTCTGTGGCAGGGGGTCGGAACTAGATGATCTTAAGATACTCAAACACTAGCCAAAAGCATTTATTGAGTGGCCTGCATTAGTAAGTGGTGTACAGTTATTTGCACAGAAACATGAAAAACGATGCTGCCCTGTTTTAAAATATTTTGTGAACTTTCCGTCCTTTAAAAAGGTCTTTATTGTTTTGCATTATTTTTCATTCATACAAAAAAAGTTTTATTTGCATTTACACTTAGACCTCTGAAAACATGTTTAAAAAAATACACCTCTCAGAAAAAGCAACCGAATTTGCCACACTAAGGAAAAACTAAGTGAAGACATTGCTTAAAAACTGCAAATCATTTGTGCTCCAGTTCCATATTCTTTCTAAGCCATGAAAACACTTGGGCATTTATTTCTTCCATGACATCTTCTGCTGTTCGTCCTTTGACTGCCATCCCATGGTTTGCTTTATCAATCCAGTGGATTTTTATAGGGGCTTTCATTTTGCTTACCACACCTTCTAGCAGTTGCTGAAGAGAAAGTAAGAATGAAAAAGTCAGAGGATCACAGCTGCTACAAACTGCAACTCCTGCATCTCTCCTGCTTTGCCTGTGCAACACGTTAACAGGCAGCTCTCAAAAACAAAACAGATCTGCATGCACATTAAAAACACCTTAACAGAAAAGATGTGATGATCCTGTGTTCACTAATGGAATGTGCTCAAAGGTTCACTCCCCCTCAAAAGCAGAATTGCAGGAAGTCAGAACTTCTAAAGCTGCAAGTGACAACCCTGTGCAGGCTCCTTCCCCACAATGATGAAGGAATCTACTCTTGCTGCCGAAGGGTTGCGCCAGCAATAAAATGTCAGAACTTTGCAATATAATTATATGGAGACTGGCCTTAACTCCCTTCAACTCTCTCAGCAAACACATCTAAGAACCAGCTCAAAAAGTCTTAAGAGCTTTCCCCATTAAGAGGGCACTCCAAGGATCTGCTCTTTGTTAGCCTGACTTATTTTGGTGACAACTCCTCATGAAAGCATTGACTCCTTAGAAACTGCCCAAGCATGGAAATGCCAATTGCACATGTTCCCAAATTCAAGCTGAACTGTTCAAGAACAACAGGTACCATTTTGCAAGAGAACAAGGCAGAAAGCCACTGTATTTGCACCACCACGCTTCCTGATGTCCAATGACGTTTCCTACCCAAGGCTTCCTTCAGAAGATAGATAGATAGATAGATAGATAGATAGATAGATAGATAGATAGATAGATAGATAGATTACACAGAGAGAGAGAGAAGGCTGTTAATCAAAGTCACAGCCATGCACACCAGTACAGGTGTCACTGGGACTCATTCCTCCCTACTGCCCCTTCACAGCAGGATTTACAAGGGTACTCACTTTTTCACACATCTCATCTGCTGATCCTGAGACAAACAGCACTGGACACCTGATCAATAATAAATCTTCATCCCGGAGCTTGGACTGAAGTCTTGGTCGATGCAATGGGTAAGATAAACATACAAGACCTTGAACGAAGTCATCATCATCATCACCGTGGCTAAGCTGACGTACCACAGATGCAGCAGCTCGTGAGCCCATGGAGCGGCCTTTCTCCCATGTTAAAATAAAGGAAAAAAGTACATCTGCTGTCACCTCATCTACATTCTGTTTGAGTAAACAACTAAAAATGAGTGTATTTCAGCCAGCGGTAGTAAAAAATGCTAGAGATAATTTTATTCATCTACTCCATGAAAAGTATTAATCTTAATTTCAATATTTTCTTCTAAAATATTTGTCTGATTATATGATGATTTTACATCCCCCCTTAAAAAAGAAGGGGGGCAGGGAAGGAAAAATAAATAGAGAGGGATCCTTTGCAATACTGGAAAGAACAAAGCCCATCCTAGGGGCAGAAGGAAGAGAGAGACAGGTCCTGTACTCCAGACCCTTGAAATCTGAGATAGCAGTGCTAGTATCTTGCACAATTTTTGTTTTTACAACCTTAATTGGCTCAAATTAAAACCAAATATATATGCATCTTACTTCCCAAATAAATCCAGCAAGTGTTTATGCACACCTCAAACTTCAGCCTACAAGTAGAAGGGAGGGATAAAATACTGAAGTGTGAACTTGTAGTGTGAGGTCAGTTTACAACAGCAAGGTGGTATCAAAATATCTCCTCAAAGAGAAGGCATATGAGCTGACAATGCTCTGTAACTGAGTGTTAGAAGTGGCTGATTCCAGTGGGATTATCTTGCATCAGCGCAGATTAGTCAGAGAATTTTCAGAGTTTCCTGTATCAAGTTATTCCTAATCACACCCATCTATTTCCCTTTTCACATAACTCTTTTTTTTTACCAGCCACTAGGTTTCATCTACCAAAACTACCAAAACCTATTTTGGGAAAATGGTTTTCCATATATCAGTAACCAGAATTCTTCAAGACCTGCAGTTAAAAGGTACAGACTGATTATCAAAGAACACATGCCCTGCAACTTATAAGTGACAAGGAAGTTTTCTCCCAAAGTACATGGTTGTACTAATGCTCTCTCCTTCCTGCTCCTGGAGTGAAATCTGTGGCATCACAAGGAGGGTCAACAGGTCTGGAATCTGAAAACAGCAGCAGGTTGGATGTTCCCATGTGTGACCCCAGCAGCAGTGAGACAGCCGAGCTACACACCTGCCCTGTGCAGCCACCAGCTACTGGGCTGGTAGCATTCAGCTCCAGGTTAAGAGACCCAAAGAGCTGCCAGCAGGCTTTGCACCACTGCTCCCAGTGGACCACTAATCAATTAATGAAGGTTAGAACATTAAGCTGTCAACAAAGGGCTGGACTGCTCTCCCTAGGCAACTGACCAGTGGGGCTTCATTCAGCTTGTTTCCATGTCAGACAGCAAGCTTTTAGTGCCACCTCAGACTGAAACCTGTCATCTGCATCTGTTCATCCACCTCCTACCAAAGTAGGACAGACTTCGACAATGGAGTAATTACATATTATCTTTAGAGACAGTATAGGAGTGAAATTTACAGATAATAAAAACAATACCTGCAAGGAAGACACCTGAAAGTTTATAATCATCAGAAAGCTTTAGGTATTCCTAAAGAAATGAGATAAAGAGAAGCATTACAAGTTGGAATTAAGACAGCCGGAAAGCTAGGGATTGTTTTGTTTCTAGCTACTAAGCACAAAACATGAAGCTCTTTCAGCACTGCAGATTAAGCAGAAACCAGATACATACAAGTTGCTCTCTTCTTTTTTCATACAAATAATTTCCTAACATTTTGCAGCAACAACATAATAAACATAAGCAATTTCACATTAGCTCTCAGCCAAGTTTAAAATATCAGATGCCCTATCCAGTTACCAAAACATAAACAATTACTGTGTATCAGCTTACAGTAACAAACCAGAAGCACACTCTTAGCTTGTAGAAAGGCAAAATTAAGTTAGCAAAAGTGCCCTTCACAGAGGTCATGTATTTTCAATGAAAAGATTAAGACACAGTCAGTTATCTGTCAGTTATTTCTGACAGAAAAGATATTCAGCAACAAATTTTTCAGTTTTCAGGAGGTAACTAACCAGATGTTATTTTAGCAGATGCCTTTGAATTGCCTTTGCACAGCAGCAAATGAGTATAAACTCACTAACAATATGTTCTTCATACAAGACTAGAGAACATCTCTAGCAAAGTCTAACTTCAAAATTAATGTACATAAAATCACAATTAATTCCTTAATAACTGCATGTAATTCCCCTATAAAAATGTCTGATGCTCAATGCAAAGTGCTCAAGCTGCCTTCCCATGCCCCAGTAAAAGCAGCTAGATAATCAGGAAAAAATTTCCCCTCCTTCCTACATGTTCCAGAACAGGAAGATACTCTAAACTGGTACTATCATAACGAAACATTGCTCATTTTAACAGAACCTAGGTACATAAGAACACCTTAAATAAGGCAGCAGCAGCAAAGTAAACACACACATGTAACAGTTTAAACTGTTTTTGAAATCAAAAGACTATTTAGGTTATAGGCCTCTCATATGCTACTCCTAATCTCTTGTGCTTCAACTCCTCCTGTGACCTGGAGTCCCCTACTCCTTCCCCAAAGTCTTGCTCTCCCAGCTACCGACCCCCAGAGGCTCAGCACAATTCTCAGGTTGGTTTTCCTACATAAACTGCTTCCAAAGCTGTTTCCCTTAATTCCCCTCCCCTCACCAAGTCCTTGCAGAACACCCATCTCCTGTTTCCATCCTAAATACGTCCCTTTTTTCAAGCTGTAAACTCTCTCATAAAACACCCTTGCTTTCTTCACATCCTTTTCTCAAGCTCTTCTTTCTCTCCTGGCACCCAAACCCATATATATGCTACTGCCCATATAAAAATTGATCCTACTGTTCCTGTTCACAAGCAGTGCTCCATTTAGCTAATCATCACTTCTGCTTTTCCTGCTGTTGCTTGACTAATCTCTGGTCATGATTTAAGAAACCCAGAAGATGACACCCAGGGCAGAATTTGGTCACTTCCTACCACAACTGTGTTGAAGGCCTTAGCCCTATAAGCAATGTTAAGGCCTTTACAAGTAAATCGTAGGCACAGGACTCCACGGGATGCAAGACAGGCTGCCAAAGACACTAAGTGAGGGAAGTTCATATCTCCTCCAGCTCCATGGGTAAGAATCACTCCATATGTTGGTTTCTTCTCTGGAACAGAAAAGACAGCATCGAGATACTTGTTTCCAAAAGGTACTTTCACTTTAACCTGCAAATGAAACAAAACCCATTATAATTTAAAAAAAAACATGTTTCCAGTCTACACATTATAACAAAGAGCAATCAGACAATTAAGAAAGAAGCCAAAACTTCAAGTCCAATTTCATTTCTTCTGTTTAGGAGTACTAAATGAGTAACTCTACCTCTGGCTCAAATGTGTTCCATGCAATAATGGCAAGTCACTTTATCACTCCACACCTTATTTTTTCCATTAGAGAAGGAATCATCCCCAGCTTCAAAGGATTCTTCAAGGCATAAACTCTCAACCTTCTCTGTATAGCTATTTGAGAGCTAACTGCCATATTTGACTTGAATATTAAGTCTTCCACAGTAAGAAACATTAACTCTCTGTAAGACTTAAAAATAAGTAAGAAATATGAATTCTTCTATAACTACAGTTTCCTACAGTGGAAAAAGTATTTTTATCTCACATGTCCCACTGATATTATTAACTATAAGAATTAAGGAAATGTCTACACATTTATTACAACCGAATTACTTTGGGTCTGTAGAGCCATATGGAGTATATATGATTAAGAGAACCCCATGCTGACAGCAACTATTTCATACTGTAGCTGTAGGATCGATGTACAAGCTTCACTACCAAGGGAAAACACTACAAATAGTATGAAAAATGGATTTGAATACACTAGGTTTAGAAATTGCAGGCAACTATAAGGAAAACATTTTTTTTTCCTCATAACGTGCTCCATAATAACTGATGGCAGATGTCACAAGATACATATACATACTTCATGTATACCTGATATTGTAAGATAAGCATTTACCCTCTAACTAGCAGCCTGAAGCACAGAACTACATGACATGAAGACAGCCCAGCAAACACTGTCAAGTGACACAGTGGTACGCACACTGTGGAGCAGCTGCCTGCATATGGCACCTCTATATAGAAACCTGCTTTAGTGGAAGGTGCTCCTGCCCAGGGCAAGGGGTGTTGGAAGCATGTATTTTTAACACCCCTTCCAAGCCAAACCATTCTATGATTATACAGTCAAAGACTGAGCTTTCATCAAGGACAGGAGACGGCACAGGTTCACATAAAGCCAGCTTCAGGCTGGCAGAGAGCCTCGTCGCGACAGACATCTGGAGTAGCTGAACGAGGCATCAGGCCAGCTGATGATCTGCTGAATGACAGAGGGCTGCAGAACGAGTGTCCCCGTATGTGCTGCAGCGGCTCAAAGTTAAAACACCCCAGGGCAGAGAGGAAGTACTATTTCATTCCACAGCTGCCTCCCGAAGGGTCTCTCTGCTTGGTAATGGTCCTACAGAAGCACAGGTCAGGGCAGGAGGAGGTTGTCAGTGGCCTCAGAGAGGCCTCTGCCAGCTGAAAGCGGGGAAGGCCGGCCAGAAGAGAGCAGCCGAACAGAGTCATGGCAGGCGGCTTGTCAGCCGGGGCTGCTGCTGCCCGAGCCCCAGGCCGCTGCTGAGTGAACGCACCAGCCTGCACCGGGTTCAGCCAGCATCCACCTCCGCGCATCTGCTGGGAAGGGAGGGGAGGGCAGAGCGGCAGCGAATCCACCCCCCTGCTCTCGGGGCTCTCCCGAGGGGCACAGCAATTCCTGGAGGACGCCACAGAGGCAAAGCAGACCCAGGGACCCGCGGCCGGCTGCTCCACTGCGGCCTGCGCAGAGTAGCCCGAGTCTTTCCGACTGCCGGTGACCCCCCGGGGGCTCGCCCCGCGCTCGGGGCCTCACGAACCCCTTGCTGCGGCCGAGGAGAGCCACCCTCACCCGCTGTCCCCCCCGCGGGTGTCCCCGGTACACAGACTGCTGAGTACAACCCCACGACAGCGAACCCCAAGCAGCGGCGGCCATACCTCTGCCCACCCGCCCATGCCGCTGCGCAGCGTGACGTCACGTGAATGACAGCCTTCCCCTCCATCGCTTGAGAGCACTTCCCGCGGGGGGCGGATACCGCTGTGTTTGATTGGTCTACAGATGCACAAGGCTCCGCCCACAAGGGCGGGGATAGGCTGCTGGCTTGGGAGCAGGGAGGTGATGGCGTAGGGCGGTGTTGGCTGTTTGTGGGGGGTATGAGGCGATAGAGGGGTGAGGGTTGTCGCTGGGCTGGCCGGGGCCAGGGGGCAGCGCGATTTGATTCACTGCACATGGAAAACATGGGCTGCTGTTAGTATTACTGAAGAAATAAAGCAAATTGCTTCGGAATTGGTTGGAAAGTCAGGTTCTTGCTGACTGCAAGGAGTACAGGTGTGATCCTTGCTATGAGTTAGGTGTCGGAGCCACATCAGGCGATCCCTCTGGCAGTCGTCAGCGCACTGAGTCTACGTGGTGTTCACAAAGGGGAGAGACAGACTACATGGGTAGTATTTTAGGTACCAACATATTGCCATCCCCTGGGCTGACTATTGTACCATGAAAAATCTAGTGTGCTCAAAACACAGTCTTAAACTGATGGAAGATGGCATCAATATTCTACAACAACACTCGCGGTATATATATATTGTTTCACAGATAGAATCACAGAATGGTTTGGGTTGGAAGGGACCTTACAGCTCATCCAGTTCCAACCGCCCTGTCGTGGGCAGGAACACCTTCCACTAGACCAGGTTGCACAAAGCCCCCTCCAGCCTGGCCTTGGACACTGCCGGGGATGGAGCTGATTACACAAAAAATTCTAAAATCTTACATGGAAGGTATTTAGTCAGAGATCACATTTATTCCATCATGAGTGTATAAAGCTTACATAAATTAGGATACCCTTTTGCTTAACTGATCTAAGGCGCCATCAACAAATGGAATTACGTTTTTCACTTACCATCTGCTGGAAAATAAGCACATTTTGCCTTGTGCTCCAAGTGTCTTGCTGTGCCTCTGCCAGTTAGATATCGTCAAACATTGTCATCCAAATGTTGCAGCCCTATGATAAGTGAACCCATCAGAGCAGCTGGGGTGTACCCACTATCCTGGTGACCACCCTGCCCTCTGAGGACTGCCGACCTCATAGGCAAATTCCCGGCCCAGGCATTATTATTGTAAAGTGTAAGTGTTAGGGGCAGAAGTGGAGAAGTTCAGCTGTACTCAAACTGAAAAAGACAGGAAGGTTTGTTTGTCTAAATTTCTACCTTGCCTTAAGAAATGTCGAGCTAAAGCAAGATGCAGGAGCAGAAAGCTGAATGAAAAGCACAAGCACAGCCTGCATGAGTTGTATACCTTTCACTGGGAGCTGAATGGCAGACAGTGTTCAGGTAGTGGCTCGAGCCATAGCTCACATCTGGGGGGTCCAGCAAATTAGGGGAAAGAAGATGCTGCAATAATGCCAGATTAATTTACCTTGGGTGGAGATCACACTATTCTGATTAATACTTAATGTCCATTAAGCCTTTATAAATGAGATGGTTAGCAAAAGAGGACTGTGAAGAATTGTTATCCCAAAGCAGTTACAAACTGAACTTCAACTCAGAACACAGTAATGAAAGAAAGAAGAAAAAGAGTTAACAAAATCTTCATATTCTAGTTTTTTCTAGTTCATTGCTTTCCTTCTTGTACTAAATGGATAATGTGCCCTGGTAATAATTAATAATTTTGGTGGTGTTTTCTTCATTCTTGGTCTGATTTTTGCATTCTCCCTTTTCAATTTTTCCTCCCTGTTCAGTCCACCTGCTGTATTTCCTCTGCTTTATTCCATACTGTTTTCAGAGTGGTCCTTGAGGATCGTGCCTCCCATTAAATAGATACACGTCTAACCCCTCTCCACTGGAAAACTATTTTCATATTCTGTCTGCATGCAGCAAGCTGCTGTTGTCCCAAATCTGTGTTTCACCTGGCCTTCAAGAAGCCAATAAATACACAGGGTCTAGGTATTTATTTATTCATGCCTGCAGAGATGGGTGCTAGCTTTGTGGAATTACCACCCTTGTACCTAGGTATTGGTTTTTAATTCTGCAACATTTCTAGCTCCTCAGAATTAGGTTTCCGTGCTTTTAGGGGGACCTTTAAGTAGATTCTGGTTGATTTTCAAGTGTTCTGAGTAACCTCTGAAATCCAGAAGTATTCACTGCCAGCAGTAATTGAAAATCATAATTGCTTTCCTTTACATGCAAGTATGAGTCAAACATGAATTAGGAGTTTACGTTTAAGCTCCCACCTTTGAAGATACTGACTATAAATCTTTTCTGAACTTCTGAATTAATGCTTTCAATTCATTATCTAAGAAAACATGGTTTCTTAGATGTGTGGCTTCATTTGATAACTAACCTTACATCACTCCTGGAAATAGATGTTTATTCTGAAAACAGTATGTGGTGTATAATAATCTAAATTTGACACAAAGTATGAAAATTATGTAAGGTATGTGGTTGGACATGTCTCAATGAGAATATATGTTGTGTATTCTTATAACCTATACACTGCTGTAAGAACCTCTGACAGATTTGATATACCAAAGACAGCTGGGTTTGAAGAAACAGTGGCTGTTTATCAAAGAATGACATTATCCACAGCCTAAACTTGGGACCTGTTAACTTTCAGTAGCACATCAGACAATCCCTGTTCTTTTCCTTGGATTATAAATACAGCTTTTCATACCAGAGACTTACATTTTACGCAATAGGGACAACAGAGATGACCTTTCCCACTAATCTTGTATTGGAATGGGTTTGTTTAGAAAAATGTATAAAAATAGTTATAAAAATATAAAGTAGTACGGGGCTTTCGTGTATTTCAGCACAAAATAAATGAAGGCTGAAGGGCAGGGGATCAGAAACAGTTTTTTTTCTATTCTTAAAATTTTTAATAAAAGACCATCAGAATTATATTTTTTTTGCTTTAGGCTGGAGACATACATGTTTGTTTTAAAAGTTCAACTCTCACTCCGACTTAGAAACTTTACTTTTGCCTAAGACCTTACATTTTTTTCCTTTCCGGAGGATGTGGGTACAGAGCAACACATAAATAATGCTGAGTAACTTTTACCTATTGTAGCATGCTTGTTGAGGGGCTTTCCTCTGTGAAAGAGGAAATTATGGGCAGGCAATAAGCAGAACCACCATAATGTGCTGAAAAATACAGGATTTTAGTGTGGCGTGTAAATCCCTATGTCTTTACAATGAGCTGGAGAACTTGGCATTAATTTTCCACAAGAAGGGTGGAGGAGCAAGGCAGATGCTTACATTCGGCAGATATGAACATCGACCACCAGTAAGGTCAGAAACTGTCTTGGCTATAACTTCCCTTGGGACCTTAGGCTAGATAGAAGGTGAATTACTGAAACCATTTATTAATGATAATTCTGTAATTCAGTCTGATGAAATGTATTTATTAAGCAATTTCTTCATTTGATATTGATAACGATATCGTTGGTTTATTATTCTAGTTTTTCCTGTGATCTCAGGTTTCTCATTATGTCTGTCCGTCATTAATTAGCCTATTCAGACTGCAATACATCAATAACACACTTGCTGTCATGTATATTTGTTAGATACTGATTTTTATGAATCTGTGATATGTCTGGTGTCTCTTCTGGCATTATACTGATCACAAACTCTGTGAGCACAGATGACATCAGGTAACAAATATGCAATGCATAAAACTGTCTTTCCATTTCAAACTGTCTGAGACTCTGGGAACATTTCTGGCTTTGTAATTGTAGTGCTAAACTGAAAGTCTTCATTTAATTAAGGAGGGTGTCATCATAACGCGTGCTTCTGGATGGCAGCTTTTGGATGCTATACATTTCTCAGGGTGTTTGTTAGGGATTTTGTATTCCCTCATTGCTCTCAGTAAGTGCAACCATGTTGTTTTCCAGTGGCAGCTGTTACAATTTATTCATGTGCTGGGACTGCATGGTGGACTGCTGGCAAGAGGTCACTCTGGCTATTCTCTCCCCTTGGCTGGCAGTGAACTGACCTGGCCAACAGCCAGTGGAACAAACCTTTCTGCTCCCACTGCTTCAAGGAAAGGATTAATAGTTGTGGCATGTTGGTACAATCTTTGAGTGCTGAACTCAATTCCACGTATATTTTCACTCTGGCATTTCACTCTGTTTATATCTGTTGCTTCTTCAAGAGATTAGCATGGGTAGGGATTGTAAAGAACATTATTGTCACTGCTAGGATTACCGTTATTGTGAACACTGTGTTAAGATCTGAGACTCTTTAACATTTACTTCTCAGTCCAAAATACTGATACCCTCTGAAGTCATGTCATTAGTCATCCAGGGGAGTTATTTATCAGGTGATTATTAGTATTTATAATTACAAACACAGTGTTACAGCCCCCAAATACAGGAACTCTGAACATTTTGCATCTTGTTGCAAGCTCCTAGGCTGTTTTCACTTCCATTAATAACTTGATTCATTCCAAGATGCAGAAATTTACACTGACCCTGTCTTTACCTGTAATTCACAGAGTCACACAGGTCAGAAAATGAAGCCCTTTGTTTATCTGTAAATTGTCAGAGCATTGGCAACTGCAGAGTAACCCTGAGGCTCTGCAGATGTCTGCCATCCCTTCCTCAGTTACCAGTCCTCCAGGTCATTTCTTTCGTTTGTACAGACATTCACCTTCTAACCCCATTCTCTAAAGCATTCCAGCAGTCCCTCTCAGCCTCACATTACCTGTACGTTTAAGAAGTACATTGCCTACTCTGTAGCTCAAGATATTTCTAAATATGGTGAGTTTCAGAAAGGAGGACATGGAACTCTCTTTGATTTATTCTTGTGTTTTGATGGTGCTGTTCTTACACCACTGAGAAGTGTTTTCTGTTGAAAGTTTATTTCATGTTATCTTGAACAGCCTAGTTGATTCTGTGATTCCTTGATTCTCTAGTCTGATGGAAAGAAGAAGTGGAACATTTATTAAAGTCAATATATACTGCTCTTCACAAAATCTGCTACTCTGGGGTAGGAGGAAAGTAATTTGGTTTGACACAGCTTAGCAAATCCATCTTGGGTACTGTTCACCTTTAGGTAGATTTCAGTGTACACAAAAGTGTGTGTTTGCTTTAATAGTGCCTAGGAACTGAAGTTAAACTGAAAGGTCTCATTATTAACTTCTCCAGATTTTCCTCTTTTAACTTACACATTGTCATGAATTCACATATGTTAAGAGGACCTAGTTTGCTACCAGCTATATTCTTTTGATTACAAACCCCCATACTCATCATACATACACACATGCACGCTGAAAGTGTTAGCAAGCAAGGAAATGACTCTCTGAATGTCTGTTAGCTACAGATGTGGCTATGGATGGCCCCAGGCAGAACTTTCTAGAAGTATTGGTACTACTCAGAGCTATCTTATAGTTCAGACATCACTGAACTGTGCTCAGTGATTTCTGGGTGGGGGAATGCTTAGTGTCATGCAAAGCTACGCTCAGTGCTCAGCAAACTAGTGAATTCATCTTGGTGTATGTGCTCCCTGCATCAGTGTTCTCAGGAACATCTTAGTGCATTTGATAATCCATGTAAGTGGGTATTCTTGAAGTCCTGTGTTTAGTGCCATATCTAAAACCAATCTGAGCATACCTGGAGAGATGATGTTTGTCTTGGAGTTAAGTACCTTTGGTGCCGATCTCTTTATTTACAAGACCTGCTCTTCTGAGCACAGGAGAAATCAACCACAGAGAGATGATGTCCTGCCTTACAGCCCTCCTGTGTTCCAGCCACACCACTAGCTGAAAAGCCTTCACCCTTTTCTTGGGTCCTTGTACCCATACTCTCTGAACAGAGCAGAAACTTCCCACTTTCTGTTTCTGGATACTATATCTTTTCCATCTCAGCTGTCCTGCATTCACCCTCCTTTCTTTTCTGCAATCTCCCACTCAAGGAAGGGCCAGTCTGAAGCAGTGTTGTGCAGGAGCTTTCAATCCCAATCGGGTCTACTGTCACCTCAGTTCTTACAAGTGTTCTCATCTTCTACAGTGAACTGGAAAACAATGGTTAAGTGTGGTCTCACTGATCGCTGCCCCACCTGTTTGTGCTCTGCAGTTTTACATGTAAAATTTATGAGATGCATAGAAACTTGATCATTATATGGTGACCAAACTAAGAATAAGGCTCTTTGAATAAGGCTGAAAGATCTTCTCTGACTGCTGTTTTCTTCTCGTGCTAGGGTCACTCAGCTGGAACTCAACTGAAGTTAACGGATCAAAGCTGTTATAAATTGTGTAGGAATGGCTTTTGCAGCTGTTACAGAATCTTCGATAGGCTGGAAGAGAAGATTTGTGAATGGTGCAGGTAGTAATGCTCACATCATACATGTGACATGTTTAAATCCAAAGCCTCATAAGAGCTTCTCTGATACACCACTGAATGTGTCCTGACATATTTCTTTGAGCTTCTGGCTATGTGACATTCACCATTCCAAAACCCTGAGCTCCACTTGAAGTTACGGGTTGCATGTCACAAAACCTGCCTTCTTTTTAGAAGGACTCATTCATTCCCAACTAGAAAATCTTCCATAAGATGCTGCAAGGGCAACAAATTACCGGAGTCCACATGATAGCTTTTAAGCTCAGATGTGTTTTGCACTTCTTTTCCTCAGGACTTGTAACTCAATAGATTGTATGACATGAACAAGTTTAAAAGAAAGATGAAGCACAGGATTTCCTCCATGATGAGTACCACAAAGATCCCATACCATCACATGGCTCTTATTTATGTCAGACTCATCATCCCAGTTTTAACCTTTTAACCAGACATGCAGCCTTGCACACCTAGTTACTTCAACAAGCAAAGCCCAATCATTTACTTTGGAGACTGGATCTAAGATCACAGGTGTCTTACATGTCTGTTCTGCAATTAATCCCATTAGCTGAAAACTAAACAGGATGACCATGAGCCAACGCTGTGCCCTTGTGGCCAAGAAGGCCAATGACATCCTGGGGTGTATTAGAAGGGGGGTGGTTAGTAGGTCGAGAGAGGTCCTCCTTCCCCTCTACTCTGCCCTGGTGAGACCGCATCTGGAATATTGTGTCCAGTTCTGGGCCCCTCAGTTCAAGAAGGACAGGGACCTGCTGGAGAGAGTCCAGCGCAGGGCAACGAAGATGATTAAGGGAGTGGAGCATCTCCCTTATGAGGAAAGACTGAGGGAGGTGGGTCTCTATAGTTTGGAGAAGAGGAGACTGAGGGGTGACCTTATTAGTGTATATAAATATATAAAGGGGGAGTGTCACGAGGATGGAGCCAGGCTCTACTCAGTGGCAAACAATGATAGGACAAGGGGTAACGGGTACAAACTGGAACACAAGAGGTTCCACTTAAACTTGAGAAGAAACTTCTTCTCAGTGAGGGTGACGGAACACTGGAACAGGCTGCCCAGGGAGGTTGTGGAGTCTCCTTCCCTGGAGACATTCAACATTCAAAACCCACCTGGACACATTCCTGTGTAACATTATCTAGGTGTTCCTGCTCCGGCAGAGGGATTGGACTAGATGATCTTTCGAGGTTCCTTCCACTCTCTAGCATACTGTGATACTGTGATACTGTGAAAACCAACCACAGAAAAAAGCAGCTCACTGCACTTTAGCCTCATGGGAAAACACTAATGATAGTAACATTACATTCAGAAACTGGAGGACTCGTTTCCATGCGGAATTCATAGGTCTTTGCCAATGGCAGCACATCAAACTCAGGATGTCTGAGCAGACAGCAGGCACACCACCTCTGGAGTCAAGAGGCAAGCTGATCATAAAGTCAGAAGGAGGCAGGCTTGGCAAACTGCCTCACGCCTATGCCAGCTTGTGCTGGTACACAGGGTGAGGTTTTGGCTTTGTTTTTTATAGTGTGATGGACAGGGACAGGGCTAATGAAAGGGGTGGTGAAAAGGGGACCTCAGAAAAGATCGTCTGCAGGATGAAATTTATGGTGCTATTTGTTTTGTGGTTTAATTGCTGCTTTCAGTTCTTTGCTCCCTGTGGTTCTGGTTTTGGTTTTGTGGGTCCTTTTTAGGTTTTGTTTTGGTTTGGGATTTTTTTGTCATTGTTTGTTAGTTTTTTGTTTAGTTTGGTTTTTTGTTGGTTTGTTTGGTAGCTTGTTTTTCATAGAATCACAGAATGTTTTGGGTTGGGAGAGATGTTACAGATCATCCAGTTCCAAAACCCTGCCACGGGCAGGGACACCTTCCACTAGACCAGGTTGCTCCAAGCCCCATCCAACCTGGCCTTGAACACTGCTAGGGATGGGGCAGCCACAACTTCTCTGGGCAACCTGTGCCAGCATCTCACCACCCTCACAGGGAAGAACTTCTTCTTAGTGAGCTCTCATCATTGTCCAGATCCCGGGCTGAAATTATCGTCTCTCTTGTGGTCTGTATCTTGTCTAAACCAGAACTCAGGTATGAATTTGTTTCAGTAAAGAAGGAGGTTGGATGAGGTGATTGGTGAGATTGGTCAGTTGTCAAAAGATGGAACAAACTAATGTTTTTACATCAATTTTTCATCAATGAATCAGTCTATTAAAATCATTAAAGTCTTTCTTTCAATATGTATTAGTGGGAACCCAAGGAAGGAGATGTAGCAGAAATATATCTCAGTGGGTGTTTTGACATCACTGCAGTTAAATATCTTTTCAGGGGTAGGGCATTTTCCTAGGACCACAGAAGAGAATCAGAAGCCAGCTATGTCATCTAATCCTATCCCTGCCAATGCAGTGTTGTATGACATATGCTGTGGTAACTGTCAAGAACTTGTAAGACCACATTATGGCAGAAAGCCCTTGTGTTTGCAGTGACATAGCCCCAAATAGGCAAAAGAAGAGGCTGTATCCATACACACACTGGGTAATCTGTTTAGTCTCTTCAGTCCTTTCATTCCCTGTAAACTTAAACATTAAAGAGTGTCATTAACATCAAATGTTTGTCCTCTCTCCTTCTGCCTAGGGGAACTGTGCAACCAACCACAAATCTTCTTTTGAAAGGGATTGCTTGTTTCCCTCTGCGCACACAGTGCTGGTTAGTGCATGTTTATTTTAATGTTCATATGACAAAGCAGCTGTGAAAATAAGACCATATCTTTGGAAGAGATACATGTACATTTACTACATCATGTGTATGCCAGTAGGTCTTTTAACTAACATGAAGGTAATTGATAAAGGATTTTCCAAGCCACAAGGACTGCTTAGAGCATCACAGCCTCAAGGGATCATAGGGATCATTGGTAATGCTTTCAGTTCTGTGCAGCGTGAGTACTGATAGGGCTTGCAATACATAGGTATTGGTGAGCTGCATTCACAATCTTGGAGCTTCCCATTCTTCATTTGTAGTGCTAATGTCATGCTCAATGTAGACAATAAAATACAGCAGAAATAACCCTTTTCTCATGCTTGTGTTTATACCGGAAACTTCATGGGGTGCCAGCACTTGGGAATACCCACAAAAATATGCAGATATGCTCATGTACATGTAAACCAGCACTTATTATTTTTTAATTATACTAGAGTTGCTTTTGAGTTCAGGAACATGCCGGATGAAATGAACTTCCCTCTGGAAGGTCTAGCACAAACTCAGCATTTAAGCCTTGCTAAAGCCCTATTTTGAGAGCTTAAGTACTATTAAATGTTGGAGTAGCCTCATGCCACGTCTGCAAAGGGAGCGTGAGTAGAGTTTGTTCGCTGTGAAGTAATGGTTGTGTTAATAGTTACAGATAGGGTGGCTGGGAATCCATGCCTGGAGGACCTGTGATCTTGCTGATTTCGTGCCCTCTCTGGCATCCTGTGAAAAATCTCACATGACAGTTTTGAGGACGACTGGATCCCTGCTGGTCAGCTGCTCTGTTCAAATAATTCTTCCTTGGATATTCCTGGATGACAGAAATCCCCATCGAAACCCCTGTCAGGAGGAGAAGAACAGTGGTGGTGTGAAAAACAGCCCGAGGTATGTCTGTAGTGCTGTCGTTTCACAAAGCCCATCAACACCACTTCTAGCCCAGTAGCATCAAACCAGTAAAACATCATGGCATGGAGCTCAGCTTAAGGTGGTTTGTTTGTTGTGGGGTAGGGTTTGAAGCCTTGACTGAATCCAGTGCTGCTGCTCTCTTCGCTCTCTCACACAGATTCAGGGTGTTCCTGCCTCAGCAAGCTGAAGTTCACTTCACAGCCTCCATCATGGCTATGCCCAGGTGTCCCCCCAGGCAGCACAGAGGTACCCACTAAAGCCTGACTGGGTCAAACCCCACAGGTCCCGTTCCTTGGAAGGGCTCTCCTTTTCTGGGCAATTGAGCACCCCCCTCAATCAGCCCAAAGTGCTGTGAGGAACCTGTTGGTGTCAGGAGGTGTGCTTAGAGGCCTCTGGCATGGGCTGTAGGTGAAGAGATGGTGCCTGGTTTTGTCTTTGTTTCAGTTGCTGGGAAGGAAGGATGCTCTGCCTGCACCCTGCTGGGGACTGGGCATTGAGGACAGCAGAAGGACTGTGAACAGACTGGACTCCTTCTGAAGCATGCCTTTAAAGGTTCATCTTTACATTTTCTTCTGACTACCAGAAGTCACAAGCATGTAGTTCAGCCACTGCTATGAGACAGGATGTCCACATCACATTGGAAGGTGAGAATGTGAGGTTACACTCGCTTTAACTTTGCTCTTTTCCCCCGTTAGTGTTTGCCCAGCTCTCCTCCTGCTTTTTCCTGTATTCTTCCAGTGGGTTGATTTTCCTATAGAAAGTCTTGCCGCATTCAGGAAACTGAACGGGCAAAAAGCCAAAGAAAATTATTCCTTGTTTTGCCCCTGTAGGGTTAATTTCTGGCCACTGTTTTCTGGGTCAGCTTCCCGCAGGTGGCACTTTGCTATCTCATTGCTGTAGCCGCAAAGAGACAGCACAGCCTCTGTCAGCCTTGAGGAGCACATCTCAAGACAGAGCATCTCCCAGTTCATCCTGGGGTGAGGGAAGGAACGACAGCTTGTTGAAGGAGAGACACTCAAACTTCTGAGAGAGAGTGAAGAAGGCAGCTGTGTCTGTAGGTACACACAGCAGATGTTCTTCCCTTGCTGCTTCTTATGGGAAGTTGGGGAGTGTCCCCAGGGTATTTTTGACCATGAAGGCCTTCTTGCTCACCAGTAACCTAATCCCTCCAGAGGCAGGGGGATCCTAAATACTGATGCGCAGAGGGTAATGCCTGGTGCCATTCTTTACATCATTCTTTTTAACTCACATAACAGCTTGCCACAGGCTCTGAAAACTAAAAGCGTAAAACATGCCAATGGGTATATAAAATGAACAGCATAAAAGTGGAGAAAAGTAAACTGTGCTTCTGGAACTTAGGGAGGTCTCAGATTTTGATCAAGATAATGTTAGTCTTTGACAGTGCTAGACAGTTTAATTTCCCCTCTCTTATACATTAGCAGAGAACATTTGCAATGTTCCTTGTACTTTGGAAGAACAGCTGCACATTAAAAGAAGCCCTCAGTCTCAATTTAATGGAAACACATCTCACAGTGATTTTATTTCACAATAAAACCCCCTCTCTCCCAGGCACACAAATCTCCCAGCTTATGGAAGGGCAGAATCAGCCTTTCCCCTTGGTTTCAGAGCTCATTTTTTTCCTGTAAACTGGATGTTAACAGCTCTGACATTATGACAGATTCCAGAGGCGGCTCTGGCACCATCCTGGCGGATCCGTAGTTGGGGTAACAGCAGGGTTGTGGCGTGTGGTTCTGATTCCAAGTTTCAGTTGCCCAGGGGAGGACCATGACAGGGTATTTCCTCTTTCCTCAGAGATGTGGGAAGCACAGTCAGGAGAGCGCTGGCCTGGTAGTGCCTGCCTGTGTCCAGTGTCCAGTGCCACAGGGATCCAGCAGCAGAGTTAAGGATCCAGATGAGTTCAAGGGTGCTGGGAGTGATGTGTTCACCTGGGTTCAAAAAGCTCACTGCACTGTTGTAAATAGGTGTATGTCAAATACACGTGTGTGTAGAGTCCATGTACATGCATATGAATATACATATTTCGATCTAACCATGATTTCTCTTAGGTGTATGTATCATCAGGGGTGTTGAATGGAATACTGGGGCTGTTCCAGGAGGGTTATACATCTTAAGTGCACTGAGATAAGGAAACAGATTATTTCCAACACTTTGAGGATCCTTCAGTATAGTAAAGTCAAAGGCTTTTAGGAAAAAAAGTGCTGGGGGAGGGTGGGAAGCTGTAGGTTGCAGGAAGAATTACTTGTGAAGAGTTCCACCCTCTGACAGGCTCTTTTAAAATAAGAAGTAATCTTAAATATGAAGACCCCTAAATCCACCTGCAGCTCATTAAGCAGCTGCTTCCCAGGCCAGATTTAACTGAAGAAGAGATTACTTACCTCCACATCAAGTCCAAAGGAGTTTTCTGCTGGGGACCAAGGTAAAGCATAAGCTCTTAAGCACATCCTTAACTCGAGCATGCTTCGGTAGCCAGGAGCTGCTGGCTAGCTTCACTGAGCGTGTCAACCTCTTGATGTGGAGATGGATGAGCAGGTGGGTGCTACATTGCCAAGGTGCCCAAGCCCTGACTTGCTGTTGCTCCTGTCCTTGAGAACCACTTGACCTGCTGGGAACTAGCTCAGGGGCCTGTGCAGGCTATATCTCCTCCCACCCCATGGAGGGTTGAGTAGGTCAGAACTAGGACTGAGTGATGGGTGCTGTGATGCTTGGCTCAGGAGGGGCTCATGGCTTGTATGAAGCCAAGTCTGAGTTAACTAGTACTTGAAGACAGCAGGTCAGAAATACCCTGTCTGGCTCTGGGTGGCATGGCAGGAGACCAGGACCAGGACAGCTCACCTCTCCTCCTTCTGCAGCTCCTCACCTACCAGTGGGGTTTGTGTTAGCTGGCTTGAATACCATCAAGGTGTCCCCCTTGGGTTGTCTGCCAAGGGGTAATGGAGGAAAGGTTTCCTGAATGCTTTTTTTCTTATTTATTTTGGCTCCACCAAAGGCTTTGCTTTCAGCTCCCATCATCGTTCCTCTGAATTAATAACCAGAGTGGGTTCTCCCTGTATATGCTGGGTGCCATTTGGCTTAACCCCACGTGCGCAACCACATCAGCTCTTGACATCAAGAGCCTGCAGGGTCATAGCCTCATCCTTCATATCACCAGTGGTGACACAAAGCAAGACAGCTCCTGGCCTTTGCTTCTCTTCTGTTCCAGCTTTCAGCAATGCTGCAGAACCTGAATTGTATCAAAGGGCCCTTTCTGGAGACAGGGGACACTGGTCATTTAAATGTTTCTGATAAATTGGTAAGAATCGGTACTCACAATGGAAAAGTGAATGCCCCATTTGTAGTCAGAGATCAGAGCATGGAGCAAGCTCAGAAGCTCTCTTAATAAACAGTCTTTAGCCCAGTATTTTAATTAGTATTATATATAATATAAACATTTATACATACGTTATTTATCATTATTTTCCTCTTATACTTAACAGTTTCTGATTTTCCCTCCTCTGGAAGAGCAGGTTGTTGCTATCATGCTATCTTTGTGATTTCTAACTTGGCTTCTGTGATGAAATAAAAAACCAGTCCTCACTTCGCAAACATGTGGTCATGCTTCTTAAATGAAACAGTGTGATGCTCGGAGTATCAGGGCTGTAATTCAAGTTGCTGGTCACAAACTGCCGAAGTATATTTCTTTCAGGATATTGCCTCGCACTGAACCTGAAGATTGGGTTACAATCTGTTTCACTATGCAGGGTATCTGTTACTGTTAGGGAGAGTGATTAGCAAACACTGGCAAGGCATTCACCTAAATAATGTGTCACTACTACTCACTGGTGAATTTAAATGAAAAGATTTATATTAAACACAAGCAGCTCAGCTCTACGCATGTTTTTCCTCTGTTGTTTTTTATGTATCTATTGTAGCAGATAAGATTTTTTGATGTTTTGTGAGCTGTCATTCAAAAGTAACAAATCAAAGATCCTTACTAAAGGAACTCCTGAGCATAGAAGCCGGCCTTCTCCTATTAAGAGCACCATAGCCAGATGTTATAAGTGTAGAAGTAAATATTTAAAACACTAAGAGGTAGGTGGCACATTAGCAGAGATTGTCCCCTTCAACTGAGGCTGTATTTGTTTCATCAATGATGAAACAGCAGTTGACTGAGAAGAGCTGTGCTACCATGCTTGAAATAGTCATGCCAGTATTGCCCTTACTTCTTAGCAATAAAGTGCCTCTTCCAAGGCAATGGCAAACTGGTCCCAGATTCTCCATTCAGGTGAAATATTTTCCTAGTCAGGCAACACATGAGCTGGTGATACAGCTTCCTACAGAAGAGTGGCAGATGCCATAGAGAATGCTCTTAGACAAGTTTTCCTGCTTTTACAGGTGTACTACAGCATGTGAGGCCTGTTAGATGGTGGCCTTTAGAAAAGACCCCTTAGCACTTTGGTGTTGAAGGGGAGGGCTTGAAATGATCTACTAGCTTGAATGTGCATGGGGCAGTTGACAAGAAACAGTGGAGGCAACCTTACCCCCATTAGCAACATCTTAAACCATGGAGAGAGAATGTCCTTTCTCATATTTCCTGCACAGATGCTGGAGATAATTCTGAGTCTTTAAAACTCTGCTGGATATATATATGCTGGATATATTTGCAGGACCTCATTCCGGGTTTGAGGAGCAAGTACATTCTTGTCCGGTCTTCAGACTGATGCAGTTTGGAAAAAACAGCCCATGCCAAAGTGAGGAGCTTCTGTCCATGCAGCCCTCTGAGAGCACAGATGTCTGCACCATCTGCACCTGCTAAGTGGGTCACGTACACGTTCTGCAGTTTAGAAATAGGTCTGAAATTCAGTGGGGGTGGGAGCAGAGTAGTTTCTGTCCACCTATGCTATTTATTTATTCTCCTTAAATGAGCATTTGCCCTGCAGTCTTGCTAAGAAGCACAGTGTAACT